TTAAATTTGTTACAGCTGCCCACTCCAGTAGACTCTGGACAATTTTAGAAAACAACAGTATGGGGGTGGCTAAATTATAGTGACATTATGGTAAAAAAAAAAATTGGTGTGTTTACTCAAATTTGATAAAACAACCTGGTTACTATCTGAATATGTCTTATTGAACTTTATACATATTGTTCATTAAGGGCTGACACAATAATGAGACAGCTGTTCCTTGCAATCTGTACATATGGAGATGGTGTTGCTTTAATTTTGCCTGAATTCTAGAAGAACATGATGCATACCTGGACAGGTGAAAGCAAAGAACAGTGTAATGCGAGTTCTTGAACTGGTTATTATTCATAGAAACGGATTTCAGGCCAATAAAAAAGAAGGAAGATATTACCAATTTTTAGAACACAGTGCTGGACAATTCCACAGGGTTATGAACAAAGCATTGCATGTGTTATTTGGAGGTTTGGGGTGGGGGAGAGGAGAAACAACTGATACAAGATTCTAGTGACTATCCTTAAAAGTTCCTTATACCGTTGGTTATACATTTAGGTCTCCTTTGTCATTCTGCTCCTCATAATTGGTTCTTGTAGTTTGCTATATTAATTTTTAACGTGTTGAGAGAACTAGCAGAAACACACACATGAACTTGTATTTTTCAAATACTGCAGCTTTATTGGAATAAAATAGTCCATGTTGATATTTTCAGGGAACACAACAATGGTCAGAGAATGTATGATGGGGAAGCTTATAAAACATTGCACCTTGTTTCAAACATTCTTTTAGTCCCTTCATATTCTGTGCTTTTATTATTTTAATTATTAGATACTTTCTACCTCTGCATGATGATGATAACGATGACGACAATGATGATGATAAGCTTCATGAAAAGCAAAGAAGGTGCATAAAATGAAGATGAAACCACAGGGAGATAATGGGGCCAGAATTGTCCATTTTCTTCTCATGATCCTAATGAGAAGGACATCAGACACCATCTTGCTCTCTCTGTTCACCCACAGTCTTTTTTGTAGCAATTCATGGGCTCTGGCTTTCAGGTCCCTGAACCAAAGCAGCAAATCAGTTCTAGGAACCTGCTAATTATATGATCTTAATTATTTATCGCTGAAGACCAGAATGTATAACAATTCTGCTTTTCACATTGTAGTAACCAACTGTTTCCTCTTACATTAGGAACTAACAATTATAAACTGTAAATAGAAGCATATGAAATCTGGGCTGAAGGCAGGTTCCGTCACCCTCTTCTTAACTGTACAACAGGTTTTTAATGATATAATTACAGTCTTGTGCAATTTTGTAACATAAATTTCGTTCAAAGAAGGCAATTTTAGATGTTATTAACATTTTTGCACATGGATTATTTAGCTCAACTATGAACAGCTTGTGGCAAGGTAAAAATCTAAACACAGCACGTTACAGAACAATGATTCTATTATTATCCCTCCTCAGTGTTATTCGTTTTAAATTATAAGCTATATTAAGAAAGTTTGAAGAATATGGAAGTGATTCATTTTGTTTTTCATTTTCTGCTCTGCCCCAGACAATTAATTTGTGGAAAACAGGAAAGACATAATATTAGTTGTATCCCACTTGCCTCTTGAAAGGTTAGTTAGCATGTTCATGTTATTCCATCCTAACCTGTTTGGCCAGAGGTTTGGAAATGCAATGATATAAGTACCAATACCTTGCTTGCTTGCTTGCTTGCTTACTTGATTTATTTATTTAAAAAAAGATTCCAACTGGGTGATAGAAAACAGAAAATGCAAGGTGCATTATGACATTTTTGCTAATAAAAATAGTGCAGGTACTAATATTTCTTTATTGGTACATAAACATTTAATTTCACATGAGTTTGGCTTTCCAATTCCAACTATGGACTTTAGAAAGATATATCTTAATTTTATAAGTTACATAAAAGGTCACATATGTTTCAACTTTATCAGATTTCTAATACTCATATTAGTAATTAGTAATTTTTTTCATACTTCAAAAATCAGCTCCCATACAGCTTATATGGTACCTAGACAGACTGTGTATACCAAAACTGAAAATTAGTTTGAGAATGTGATTGTTAAAGAATGGCAAAAATGAATTTCAAGTGCTTCTTGAAATACTGTATATATGTAGGCTGTCACTGGTTCGAATAATAATTTAGCACAAAACCTCCCAATATATTTTCATCTGAAGGCATTTAGTGGGAGCTATTCTATAATTCTGTAGTGTATACCTATAATGTTAATATTAAACTATTGGCATTTTATAGAGGCAGTCACAAATAGGATTCCCTTCCTGTCCAATCACTAGTTTACATTATCTCACAAATAAGTTGTCAAATTTGAAACAATTTTAGTATCGTTTTTGGAACTTTTGTTGCACTGATTGCTTTTTGATTGAAAAAAGAAAATAAGGGAATGGTGGAAGTTGAATAATTTGGGTATATACACACATATGTGCAAAGGTTTGTTCTCCAAAGCTGATCAGGTTACAGCTGTTGCCTGCACTTGCTATCTGGTAAGTCTTCTCAGGGTTTCCCACTGATGAAAAGACTCCACAATTATTATTTAGGGCCTTCTGTCCTATAATGGCAGTTTTGCCTCATCATTATAAATAACACTTGTCATCTAGAGTAAGGGAGATTGAAATTACCTGAAAGAACACATCAAAGGCCCATTTATTTTTTAATTAAAGGGAATTAAGAGGGGACTGTTTTTGAGCTGTTGTTGACTTGCTGGTTTTCCACTGTAGCTCTTTCTCAAATGGTTTTAGACAAGCTGCCCCCAGCATTTGACTCTGTTAGGACCCCTACTTTCTGAATTTGTACCTAAAAGAGTTATTTCTCTAAAAAAAATTTCCTTGTGAAGTTTCTTTTCAGTAAAGAAATAAACCACAACATTTTTTTCTTACATATGTTTAGATGTAATAATGTAGTTTTACTGTGAGGTGAACTCCTAGGTTATATCTGTTTTACCAGTTCTGTATCCAGTCAGCAGGGGGCAATGGAGCCTTTTATTTACATGCCTTCTCTAGTTGCTCAGTTATGAACAGCCATATTAAATCTTTAAAAGCATGTGTTTTAAAACATGGAGCTTAAGGAATCATACCCAATATCATATGACTTATCTAATTTATAGCAGGTTCCATTGACTGGGTTTCCCCAAACAGCAAAATTGCTAAATGTCTCCACAAACAACATTTGCACACGTTAAAACACAAGGCTTAAATGTGATTTGAGCCATCTGGGCACCTGAATGAGATAAATAATGAATTAAAAAAGCAGCAATCCGATTCACCAAAATGAAACATCCATGTTATAACTTTGAGGACAATTTTGAACACACAGGGCTTATACAAAATGAACATAAGGCAATTGGCTTATACTAAATAAGCCCCCATACATAAAATGCACAAAAACAAGTACTCTGAACAACTATAAATTCAAAAAGTGAAATTAAAAAAAAAATGGAAAGCAGTTAGCTATATATGAACTTCTGCATAATTTTACACTGGGAAATTGGAGAGAAAGAAAGACAACAGGGAAAGAGAAGCGGGCAGAGAAAGAGAGACAGAGCAGCGCACAGCCTGGGTGTGAGGAGTCAGCTGGAGCTGCACCAAAGAGAAAAAGAGAAGAGGGGAAGAGAGGAGAAGATGTAAAAGGAGGAGGTTTTAGTGGAAAAGGGAGAGAAAAAAGAGGACAGAGAAAGAGAGAGAGAGGAGAGGCTTTTTTGAGAAAAGCAGAGGGAGAGAAGTGGATAGAACAATGCCAAGATTAATGTCAGAGAAACAAGCACAAGTTTCCAATTAAAAGTGTGGTAAGTAGGTGTACAGGAACTAAAGAGCCTCTTGATGAGGGTGAAGAAGGAGAGTGCAAAAGTTGGCTTGAAACTCAACATTAAGAAAAGCAAAATCATGGCATCCGGCCCTCTTAATTCCTGGCAAATAGATGGGGAAGAAATGGAGGTAGTGACAGATTTTATTTTTCTGGGCTCAAAGATCACCTCAGATGGGGACTACAGCCAAGAAATTAAAAGACGCTTGCTCCTGGGGAGGAAAGCTATGGCAAATCTAGACAGCATACTAAAAAGCAGAGACATCACCCTGCCAACAAAAGTGCGTATAGTCCAGGCCATGGTTTTCCCAGTTGCAATGTATGGCTGTGAAAGTTGGACCATAAGAAAGGCTGAGCGCAAAAGAATTGAGGCCTTTGAACTATGGTGCTGGAGAAGACTCCTGCGAGTCCCTTGGACTGCAAGGCGTTCAAACCGGTCAGTCCTAGAAGAGATCAACCCCGACTGCTCTTTAGAAGGCCAGATCCTGAAGTTGAAACTCAAATACTTTGGCCACCTAATGAGAAGGAAGGACTCACTGGAGAAGGCCTAATGCTGGGAAAGATTGAGGGCAATAGAAGAAGGGGACGACAGAGAATGAGATGGCTGGATGGAGTCACTGAAGCAGTAGGTGTGAACTTAAATGGACTCCAGAAGATGGTAGAGGACAGGAAGACCTGGAGGAATGTTGTCCATGGGATCGCAATGGGTCGGATATGACTTCGCAATTAACAACAACAACAAAGTAGGTGTACAGATAGTCCTTAACCTATGACCACAATTGAGCCCAAAATTTATGTTGCTAAGTGAGAAATTAGTTTAATGAGTTTTGTCCCATTTTATGACTTTTCTTGTTGCATTTGTTAACTGAATCACTGCAGTTATTAAATTAGTAACATGCTTGTTAAGTTAATCTGGTTTCCCCATTGACTTTGCTTGTCAGAAGGATGCAAAAGGGGATCACATGACCCTGGAACACTGCAACCATCATAAATATGAATCAGTTGCCAAGCATCCAAATGTAAATCATGTGACCTGGGGATGCTGCAACGTCATAAGTATGAAAAATGGTCATAAGTCCTTTTTTCAGTGTCATTGCAACTTCAAACAGTCACTAAGCGAACAGTTGTATGTCAAGGATTACCTGTATTTTATTATTTTTTTCCTTTTTTTGTGGTCATCAAGTTTTTGACACCTTGCTAGGTGATACCCGGATATTGCCATATCTTAAAAGTGGTACAATCTGTGAAAAGGTTGAAAAGCCCTGCTCTAATTGATAGGACTTCAGTGCTATCTAGGAATATTGATGGCTATCTAAGGAAAAACTGACAAACAATCCCTGTAGTTGATTTCAATGAATCTACCAACTCCCACTAGAATCCTACACATTTTTATGGTGGCTGAACATAGCCATCAGTCAATTGCTGCTTTGGCTTTGGAGTCTGAAAAAGACAGAATAAAGTTGTATAACAGTTTTGCTTCCAGAAACATACATGGGCGTTCTTTGTTGGCTTCATTGTTCATCAAAGCAACACTGTAGAAGAAAATTAAAGAGTGGTGGGGAGGAACATCTTTGTTGAAAATGTAGGTTCTGAATCATTCTGTCATTAACTAATGATGGTCTAATAATAATAATTGCTTGGCTCAATATATGAAATTATCTACTTCCTAACTTTTGGTTATATTAATGGATGGAGTGTTATGTCCATCAGATGTTCTTCTCCAACTTAGAATAATAAATGAGAGTCTCTGCTCTCCTGATAAACATTCAACAGATCAAATACTTGAAACCAGCTATTCTGTAGGCATGTGCATAAAAATATTAACAATTTATTGATTTTTGAGAATTTCTCATTATATTTTGTGGTATTGCCTAGACTTATGAGACAGCATCCATGTTTGCTACAACTTCCATAACACCCCATTCAACTAAAGTTCTCAGTAAATGTAAGCATGCACATGTAACATCATCTACGTTTTATGAACCAAATGTATAAGCAACAAGAAAATGTTTCAAAAACAGTGGGGATTCTTCTGGTAGACAAGTTCAGCTTCTAGCTATAACTACAGCCTTTTCAACTGTGTTATTAAAAGTTGTGTGATAAACTAAAGTAACTGAATTCAGTGAATAGGGAGAAACATTTCCTGGGAAAAGTGAAATCGTTCATGTATTCTCAAGTTTTATTGGGTCACTTTGCTTGTAAGAAATAAACCCTGCATGATTTACTAGATATATAGAAATTCTAGACTAATTCTAATTCTAAGGGAATCAATGGCTAATTTTCCAAACATAGGATAAAGAATGGATAGCATTACTCCCAACTCTCTTCCTAAAGCAAGTCACCTCACTCTGCCTAATTTCAGTGACTAAACTCACAAATGATAAGTCTCTTGAAAAACATTTATTTCTCTTGCATTGTTGTTTTAGAGAATGACATTAAGACTCAAAGGTCATTCCTTCTAATGCTCTGCTTGATAAAAGGTCAGTCCATAAGACAATACTTAAGACAGTTTTCCTAAACTGTATGAGCCTATGCATATTTGTGTTTATTTAATTCATTGGCATATAAAACAGGATTGAGGGACAGAACTCCGTTCATAAATCACCAGTATTCGGTTGGCTGAAATGTAGAAAGAGGTTATCTAATAAACAGGAAAAGAAATGATTGAACTAATAAATGTCACTAACAGATATGGAAAGGGGACAACAAGATGTTCTACTACATCTTATTTGCATTTCTTATTTTAATATGGATCCTGGGGAGAATAACATAGTGGCTTTGTAAAAAATTAAACTGGAATGCTTTTGCCTGAATGTTCTACAGATCTACACATTTAGCAGGTTATAGGTATAAATAAGCTTCAGTCAGAGCTTCCAAAGAACAGGATGAAACAACTGGTTTCACTTGAACGTGGCATCTGAACAGTGCAGTATGAGACTGTTAACTTTTGGACCTAATCAGAAAGCAAAGAGATGATGGTTGATTAAAATGAAGGTGACTTCTAGTTGGGCACATAGCAACAATCTCTTTTCAATACAGTAGGCTCATCAAATCATCTAGCAAACATTTGGAATCTTCTCTTGCCTTATTGTTTATCTGATTGTTCTTCTGCCTTTCTGCCCAGGGGAAAGCCATTCTTCTTTTGTAAGACATTCAAAAGATGCTGAGATCAAGTATCTTTCAGCCCCTTCCTTAGTAGGATTTTACCACTTAATTTCTATTTCATTTTGCTGTCGTTGTAACCCATATTACGGTGAATCAGGAGAAGGGCTACTATCTAGTTACATAGCCTGATCACCCAGCTGTGATCATTTGAAAATTCTTGATTTGATGCAGTTCTCTCCTTACTGTAAAGCTGAGGACTACTCAAACATCTCGCCTTCCTCTAAGGATGCTGAGCAGCCTGATGTTGACAGCCCAGTGATAACCATTGTCTCTAGACTGCAGTTTATTACTACGGAGTATAAATTGGTCCTCATTAAAATGCAATTTTTCAAGGCACTATGGGCAATCTTTTTCAGTAAATGTCTTGCTCATTTATTAAGCATCATCCAAGGTCAATCAGGGCAAATGAAAAACACAGAAAATTAAGATAGCACTTCAAAGATTGGCAGCTCCTGCATGGAGAATGCGAGCCCTGACCTTGGCTGGAGCCTCTGCTGTGCATGTGGGAGCTGAGAAGCAGTCTGTGCAGAAGGCTTCAAAGATAAGAAGGATGGAGCTGCTTAAAACCAGAGCTTAGTAGAGAAGAGAAATGCTGGCAGAAGCAAAAGCCAATTCCATAAGAATATTTTAATATTTTCTTTCTTTTAGGGTCATCATCATCATCATCATCTCAATAGGTTAAATATTCCATAGGGAAGCTTAAGCAATGGTAGACTAGTTTTTAAAAATTCTCTTACAAAGGTCAGCTTCTCTAACCTATTATCATCCAGATGTATTAGGACTACAGCTCCCAGAAGTCACTGACAGAAGAGTTAGCAGGGGTGTCAAACTGCTGGCCTGTGGGCCAGTTACATCATGCAGAGGCCGTGCCTACCCCAGCTCCAGCAATGTGAAAAAAGTCACAATACATTGCAACATGTCACATGACACGGCGAGTTTGACACCCGTGAGTTAAAGGAACCAGATTAGAAAAGGCTGAAGGATATTTCTCAGATATTGGTCAATACCAATGCAGTAATTCCACTCTTGCATCAAAACTCTTTTTGCTTGTGTAAGGTGCATTGTCACTCCAGCTCCTTTACAGCATGATCGGATTGCATTGTGTACACTAGAAGTATCTGTTCAATTACAGTGTTATATAGCTGGAAAGTAGTCCTCTTACATGGACTATTTCAGGAATAATGGCATCTGTGTATTTAAGATATTCCCTTTCCTTGTTATTTGTGCACCATATTTTAAAGTTGCAATTCTACATCATTGACCTAGAATAAAACCCACTGAATTTAAAGTAACTTATTTCTGAGTAAAAATGCACAGGATTACAATAATAATCTACATTTTGCTTTATATTTGATTCAGTCCTACCTTCAGAAATGTTTCCAGGATTTATGACTTTTCCAGTATATATTTATTTATTTAAAGGATTTGTAGAGCTGCCCATCTGATGTAGCATAATCCTGGACAACTCACAAATAATATTTAGACAAATCACATTTGTTCTTTTGATTAGTTTTGTATTTGTATTAGTTTTCCATGTGTATTAGGGAGCTTGATTCTGGTTAGAATACATCCCCTAACCTGAACAATTTAATGGGATGAGTAATAAATGGTACACAATGCTGAAAAGCTAAATAATTTTTTTTTCTATACATGAATCCTTATGTTCAATCCACCTCCCTTCAACATGTCCTTGACAAGTTTGCAAGAGAAAAAAAAATATGTATAGTGATATCTTGTAATTATTCTCTGGATAGATTTAACTGTCTGGATTAAAGGGAACTAATGGATCTTCATGAACTGACTTTTTGGAGCATGTGTTGTGGATTACTGTCATAAGACAGTAATCCACAACAGTAAGAACAGTAAGAACAGTAAGAAGATTGTGTTCACACAACACATTTAATTGGGTTAGGCAAGCAACATGCCAAGTTGAGTTTTTGTATGTGTGTGCATGTGTCATAACACGGCATGTAAACTTGGGTTCTTTGATTGGATTGTTGCACAAATCCATAAAATAGATTAATTAATTTAGCATATTGTGTGAATGCCACTATAATGCAATGTTTGTGTATATACCTTAACCTTTATCACATATACTCTATTTAATTGGGTTATACTCTTGTCTCCTCCAATATATGTCCTCACTGAAAACAACAGCACAGTAGGTTTTTATATTTTTGTGATATATATATACTTTTATTTACAATTATTTTCTTCCGTCATTGCTGAGAAGCAGTGATGCATCTTACTTTGAGGAAGTAAAGATTGTCTCATGGAATAACTATATCACAATAGTGAAGGGTTATTAAATAATACTACATTCAACTGCAGACTTTAGATAGATATCTACACATTGCCTAGATATATATCAGTTATACGTCTAGACAATTTGTACCACTTCAATAGATCAATATGTATGTATGTGTGTTTAAGTATGTATATAAGCATATATGTGTTTATATATTTATTCACACACACACACAAAATAACAGAATATCTGACACTATTGAGCTATAATCAATAAACAAATTATTTACAAATAATTTGATTCCTAAGCTTTTTTTGAGGTCTACACTGAAATATTCAATTAGATCTGAGATGGTATCTCCCATGCTTTCTTGAGATCGCTTTTTCCTTTGCAAACCTGAAGAAGGGTGTCACTAGTTTTCAGGTAAAGAAGATTTCTCATTTTGATGGGATTACCTTTAAGGAGGAGGTATTCAAGGTGTTTTGGTCAATGGGACCACCATCTTTCCTTCCTTTCCAAATCTTTGCACAATAATGCTATGCCACGACAAAGCTCTGTTCTCATGCAACATTCTATTCTAAATTAGGGCTGCAAAAATCCAGGAGACCCTGAGATGACATGAAGGATAGGCAGAAAGATAGGCAGAAAATGCCAGCCCTTTGTTGCAATCTAGTGGCTGTCTGGATTTCACCAGAAAAGGGTTAGCATTTTCTGCCAATCTTTCCTACCATCTCAGTGTTCCCTCTGCATTTTTGCAACCCAGTTCCTAATTAGAAAAGGAATGTGTCAGACAGTTACTAGCTGCTACTTCAAGCAGCTCTGAAAGGTTTTCCCCACCTTTCTGTGAAAACACTAGCAAATACAAGCACAACAACAAACAATATCTCTGCTTGGAGAATATTTTCACTTTGCTCGCTTGAAATGCTGAGAAGTTTCCTGGGCTGAATTAGCCAGCATGACTCAATATGAGCTCTTCTGATCCTAACATCGGGTTTTATGCACAGTTGGCATTTTCCTGCATAAATGAAGCAGCTTCACCACTATGCCAGTTCATTCTATGCCTTGTCTTGGCAATCTGGACAATGACTTGAAATGTTCCATTTTTAACCTTCATGCTTCTGACAAGGCACCAGAAACATCAACTCTCACTAAGGAAACCTGTTCCTTCCATGCCAGAGAAAGAAAAGAGCAATAAAAACAAGAAGGGTATTGGGAAATGAGGCTCCCTGAGACTTCTTGATGATTAAAAGGCTGGTATTTCATTGATAGATACCTGAGCCAGTGCTAGCTCACCCCGTCCAAGAGAGAACTTTGTGTATCTCCTTTGCAAAAATAGGCACTTCATTAATCCATTACAATTCTCACACAGATGGACACTTAAATCAGGAAGCTGCTGCAGAAACAGGACAGAAAGAAGGAAGACAACAGCTCAGGATCTGTGTTTTGTTCTTTATTTCCCTCCCCAATCTCTCACTCCTAATCTTCCAAACACCAGCTGTCACCTTTTGCAGTAAACTTCTCTAAATTCTCAAAGTAACTCAGAACTTGGTATTATATTTAGCTTGCTTCGACTAAAAGACAATATGGCCTTTAATTGTGCAGCCCTATGTAGCTGCATTCCTGGGAGTAAGCAGACTTACTTCCAGGAAAATGAGTAAAGGGTTGTACCGAGCTGTTTCACTGCAGAGAGTGCACAAGTGGCCCAGAATAAGAATCAGCACCCAATTATGTTGCATTTTCCCTTTTAGAAGCTCATTCTCTTTTTGAGACCAAACAGAATGACTTTTGCAGCACAGTTAATGCTCAGATACAGAGAATATCCCATTATATAGAGAATCCATCTTTGTCAATCACAGACTCAAATGGAACTTTTCCATTAAAAATGACCTATTGTTCTAAGCCTGGGTTCATAAACCTGCAGGAAACTTGGGGAGACAGTGGGATTGGTAGGCTAGGCTAATTTTCGAAGTTGGAGGCTGATGAGATCCCTGTATCATGTTACTTGTGATGAGTTTCTCAGTGGCCAGATTGTGTCTCCTGGTTCCCTACTTCTGCTGTCAGTCAGTGGAAGTTAATGTTTAAGTGTTTGATAAAGAGAGCATCCTCAGCACTTGACCCCAATGGCTTCAACAAGCTGAAAACAGAAGGAAGGCTGAGGCCATTTCTACCTTTTAGAGGGAAACATCAATACCAATCATGGAAAGGATTTTGGAAGTTATTATTAAGGGAGGCCACTTTTGCAATCCACTCTCCACTATTTTAAGTAGAACACAATTCTTTCACAGATGGCTTTTTGCAATGAATAATCAAAACTTTCTATCTCTGGGCTGGTGGAAATGATAAACTCACCTGTGCGTTCTATGAGAAAGAAAGTATGTAATTAGGTCAAAATTAAATAAGAGAACTTTATACAAAGCAGAATCTGGGTTAGCATTAATTATCCTTCACCCTATTAGTACATTTGTAAACCCAGAGAATACAGAACTACACAAAACATCACCAGACATCATTCCCCCACCACATTGCTTGCTCTCTTCTACGTTTTGAGTTTTAAAGCAGCTGGAAGTAGCATTTAGCAAGTATTTGAATTGCTAGATCAGTGGTTCTCAACCTTTCTAATGCCGCGACCCCATAATACAGTTCCCCATGTTGTGGTGACCCCCCAACCACTTATACATCACCGGGTGCCAGGGGCGTGGCCAAAGAAAAGGGGGAAAAATGGTGGACAGCCTTGTTTGGCGACCCCCGTGAAATGGTCGTTCGACCCCAAATGGGGTCCCAACCTACAGGTTGAGAACCACTGTGCTAGATCAACTTCTCCAACCTAATGCTCTCAAAGCAAGTTGGACTGCAAATAATAGAATTCTCAGCCAGCTGAAGATTATGAGGGCTGTAGTCCAATGTCTCCAGTAGCTACTTGATGTGGAAGACTGTGGATGGAGGAAAAGCTTATGTTGCCTGAAGTCTTAGGGACCAATTAAAATGTATGCAGAGTATGTCATGGCTGTAGTAATGTATGCCTATTAGGTAGACCAGTTCTGCTTCATATATTGATTTAGAGTTGGCTTTAATGGTCTTGCAGGCTCAGGACTACCAAGTGCAAGTTGGGCTTTCCTGAGAAAACATTCCTCTCACAGTGGTAATGTGGTGTCCCTGAAAACAGTGTTTTTTCCTCTGTCTTTCTGCACTGTACAGATATCTATGTATAGGTAGTCTTCATTTACTGACTGCCTCATGAAGCAACTGTCTGCAGTTACAACAGTATCTTTGTGACCTATCCTCACATTTTTGACCTCCGCAGGTCTGTAAAGCAAAGCAAAGATGGTGTCAGTTTATAAGCACAGTTGCAATTTTACTTAGTGATCACTTTGCTTAACAACCAAGTTGCTGATCCCAATTGTGATCACTAAATGAGGACTACCTGTATATTCTTCTTCAAAACTATAACAGCCTGCCTATCCTGATTCCTTTATGTAGGGACAGTTTAATTTTCTACTTCCATTTGTCTATCACTTCATTGTGCAGCTGTAATACAGCTGCCAAATCCTTTAGTACCAAATCAAGCACCATGATATCAGCATCCTTGATTAATAATATGCCAAGAATAGGTACTATAACCGACAAGGAAATATTGCAATTTTAGATGTCATAAGGGTGCATCTGTATGACTTCCCTTGTAGTTAAAAAAGGAAGTGGAGCTGTAAGGACTCAATTACTAACAGGAAATAGGAAATAGATAAATTAGCAGCAGCAGTAATGACAACAACAAAGCTGGAGGAAATCCTTGCCTTAAGGCTTCTGGAGCTCATGCTTTGATAGTAACTGACTGCAGTGTCACTACTCAGCTTCTTTACTTTGGTCCTCAAACAAGAAGCCTTTTCTTTTAGTCTCTGTGTTGTATTGACAATCTGTCTCTGGGATGGTAGTAAAAATAAGTACTAAAGGGGAGAAGTGAGCAGCTTGAAAAAGGAGAAAAGATGGGTAGGTGAAGATGTCAATAGCTGAACCTGCAGCTTATGTTTGTCCTAAATTTCTCCATTCATCTCCATAATTCACAAGAGGTCTGACTCTTTACTTTGCTGAGCTGAAGTTGGGGATGGATGGGTCAAGGCAAATTATAGATGGACGAGTAAATACATGAGAGTCTTAAAAACGCATATGAAGACTCAGAGGTACATGCAAATGAAGACAAGGTTCTGTGGTCACCAGAGATGAGTGGGAGAAGTATGAGGTGGTGCTGCAGTAGACAGGTTGTAGGCAAAACCGGTACGGGAGAAGTCTTAACACAGAGATACCAAAGGATGGCACTGTGTATGCTAGAATATCTTCTAAACTGTGGTTCTGCAGCCAAGAAGGTAACAGTTCTGGTAGAAATTTGTGCTTTAATATATTTTGTTTTAAACAAAAGTTCCTACTTCCCTGAGGAAGTCTTGTCCACTGTTCTTAAAGGAACATGCCTTCCCCCATTCCAACGATCCTTTTAAACATCATTTTCATCCTCAACATTGCCTTTCATTCTTTGCTTCCATATCTTCTTTCCATTGCTTCCTCCCTCTTTCTTTCATTTGTTTGTTTTTGTCTCTTCTTTAGTTATATATATTTTGTTTTTAGACAGTATGACTTCCTCCAGGAATCCCTTAGGTTCTTAGCTGGATCCCTTTTGTGTAGTCATGCATGTTAGTCTTTGGTAACATATAGACACTTTGGTGTGCCAGTGAGGAGAGGGAGACAGAGGAGCAGAGGGTGACCAAGTAGGAAAGGAGGAGGAATGTCTCAGACAATGGGAGCATTCACTGCTATCATCTCAGCAGCACATAAAGAAAGAAAATTAGAGGCCCGCAAAGAGAAGATGTGTGTTGGGTGACAGCAGAATTTCCTGGAAGGGCAACTGCTGTAGGGAAAAAAAGAGAAAAGTTACCTCATGAAAATTATCAACTGTTTGCAAAGCAAATTACTGTAGAAAGCACTAATAATCTAAGAATATAGATTACTGTGGAATGAAAGAATAATCTCAAGAATTCCAAGAATATACCCACCAAAACAAAAAAATTGGATGTACAGCTAATCCTCAACATACAACTACAACTGAGCCCAAAATTTTTGTTGTTAAGAGATATTTGTTAAATGAGTTTTGCCCCATTTTACCGCAGTTGTTAAGTGAATCACCACAGTTGATAAGTTTGTAAGACAGTTGTTAACTGAGTCTGGCTTCCCCATTGACTTTGCTTGTCAGATGATCATAAAAAATGATCATATGACCTTGGGACACAGCAATGAGTCAGTCGCCAAGCATCTAAATTTTGATCACATGATTATGGGGATGCTACAAAGGTCATAAGTGTGAAAAACGGTCCTAAGTCACTTTTTTCAGTGCCATTGTAACTTTGAACAGTCACTAAATGAACTGTTGTAAGTCGAGGACTGTCTGTATTGAAAACTGAAATCACATGAAAACAAAAGGACAATTAGAATCCTAAATGTCTAGTTTTAGCTGAATGTTTCAGAAACTAATGTGTTTTAGAGGCTATTGTACTACACTACCTTAACCAATTTCTTGCCATATTAAGCATGCACAATAAAACAGATATTTTTAGATTTTGTCTCTCTTTCAGATTCAGATTGTATAAAGACAAACCCATACCTCAAAGAGTAGAAGAAATATAAAAAATAATGTCTTAGGACAATGGCCAATTAACTAATGTAGGAAGCTTCTTCATAACAGGTTAGATAATAATTGTATTCTTTTTTGGTCATACTATATCCACACTTTAAGAGGGATTCAGAAACAGTGGAATGGGAACAAAGATGATCAGAGGACTAGAAACTAAGCCCTATAAAGAAAGATGGATGGCATGTTTGCCTTGAGAAAAGATATTTGAGGGGGGATGTGGCTGTACTCTTCAAATGCCTGAAAAGATGTCATGTAGAGAAGCATCAGGATCTGTCCTCTCTCATTCCAGAGTGCGGTATGCAAAATAAACGATGAGACCTGACAGGAAGTCAGATTCAGTAAATCATTAGAAAAAGAGTTCTTAACATTTAGTTCAGTCTGACAGTGGAAGCAATTATCCAGAAAGGGAGATAGCTGCCCCTTTTTGGATGTGTTCAAACAGAAACTAGACAGCCGCTTTTCTGAGATGATTTAATTTGAAATTCCTGCACTGAGCAGAGATTGGATATGATGGCCTCTTCCAAATTAATGACTCTTATGATTTGTTCAATCACTCAACAGTGACTACTTCAACTAACAAAGACTTTCTGGGATCTAATGCAGAAAGATCACTTTCCTATCATTTGGAATCTGATCCTATTTTTTGTTTGTTTGCTTGTTGGTTTTATTAAACTAGAAATACCAAGGATTAATTCTGGACATCCTACACACATATTATTATTGATGGCTCATAGTTCTGCTTAAAATAATCCTAAAAATATTGACTAAGGATAATTCTCAAACAGTGAGAAGAATACAGTAGTCTCTTCTCTAACATTGATTTTGTTGCCCTTAGCATAGGATAGGTGGGAAACTTTGAGACAAATATGCCCAGGGAAAAATATAGATTTATAATTTTGGAAGACATCTCTCTCAGACTATATAATAAAAATCAACAGATCCATCAGCCATCCACCATCACAGTTTTTAATGCTTATTATTACTGAATAATATTATCTTGTTTTGTATGCTATGGTTATTGCTGCACTCACCATTTTCCTAGGTCTGTAGATTCTAAAATTCCAACTTGTTTGGTAACAAATTTATCAAAAGGGCTGAGGAATAATGTACATTTCTGTGGCTAGATGAGCTTGATGCACTAATAATTATTTTTTTCTCTTTCTATAGATATGAACAAGTATATGCTAATTATGAATAAGTATATTCTGATTATGGATACATATATTATTATTGTTGTTGTTATTATTGTTGTTATTATTATTTGTAAACATAAATGTTGGTTAACATACAGAGCTTTCCCAATTTTTTCCTTGGATTTGAGATGTAGTGATGCATACAGTTCACCAAGGATAATTACTCACCTTTATTTGGGACAATTGGCTTTCTTGGACAATCACCTTTTTTCAGAGTAACATCATCAATGGCAATATCTCCCTCAGAACCTGTCCCACGGACACCTTCAAATATGATCTGAGGAAAGAAAACATCAGACTTAGAAAGGTTTTTAAATGTCTAAAATTCAACTCAGTAAAAAGAATGCCTTCCTGTGACACTCAAGCCATCAGTCCCAAAGGCCAGTAGTTCCCCATCTAACACATTTCTTGGATGTTTCAATCTTGAAATGGGGCATGATGGGTTGTGATAACTGTCTCTCATACTCCCAGATGAGATAGAAATTTAGATAAGCTTAAAACAAGAGAGAGAGAGAGAGAGAGAGAGAGAGAGAGAGAGAGAGAGAGAGAGAGAGAGAGAGAAGAGGAGAGGAGAGGAGGGAAGGGAAGGGGGAGAGGGAAGGAGGGAGGGGAGAGGGAGGGAGGGGGAGAGAGAGAGAGAGAGAGAGAGAGAGAGAGAGAGAGAGAATGAATGTGAATTTCTGCTCCAAATGATCTCTTTTATATTACTATTGCTCTGCAATACTGTTTGTTGTTATTGTTAAACAAAATACAAAAATAATTGGTACAATTAATAAATCTTGGTGAAATCTTGATGAGAAAAGAAAATTCAATTCTTCTTTGCTACCCTTCACATATCTACTTTTTTTGGAGAATTCTTTTTGACAATTGCACCCTTTGGGACTGTGTATAAGGTCTTGTTTTTTGTTTTGTTTTGTTTAAATGCTTTAGTTTATCAGTGAATTGTCTGCAAGGTGTTGCTGAGCTGATAAGGTAGAAGGCTGGAGGCTTTAAACAACCTCCTAGAAACTCTCTCAAACTTCACATCCTGGCCCTGTCTCTGCACTGGAGCAGAAGCTTGATAGTTCCCTGCGTCACTGACTAATCCCAGGACAATTTCCCCTGATATCCACCCCATGAACTATCTCACAATGTTCTGCCAATTAAAAGGTGAAAAAACAAAAAGCAAAAGAATTTCAATATTGCAATCTCCTGATTGTGTAACATGGAGGTATATGATTGTGGTCTTTCTCCCCTCCTTGGGAGATAGACAAATAAATAAAACTTTATTTAAAAAGTAATAATAAAATGCAGACTCCCTTTTAACTTGATATGTTAAAACATAGTCAATGTTTTACCTTTATTATTGATAAAGGTAAATTATAGAACTATTCTGATACAGTTGCCAACTAAACAAGAACATTTCCAAAGAAATTGGAAGATGGCACTAGTCTGCTACAAACAGCAGATTCTCCCTGTCCGATGGGAGATGCTGCAACTGAATCTTACGAACTGCACAAACATTATATAGAAAATGAATATCTTCATGCCCAACCTGAAGAATGATAAAAAAGATAAGATTAAAAAAATGAAATCACACAGAATTCACTACCTTGCACAGAGAAAGACAAGGTAATTAGTGCAATACAAAGAACCAGAAATTAAATGCCATACAATTCCCTGGCCTGTTTCTAGAAGGCTATTGAAGCAGATGTTTCCTTTTCCTCAAATTATCTGGATTTAAACAAAGACTGTGTGGAGTGATCTTAAATCCTACATCTTTCCAGAGTTGCGCCAATAACTTCTGTCTTTTTTCAAAAAGACCAATCCCTTCTTTCTATCTACAGGAGTGTCCATGACAGACACCATCTCCCCTATGTGGAAGTGCATTCTGTTTGCCTGAGGTGTGGGAAGGTAAACTGGGTGTCAGAGTAGATGGCTTGTTCAATCTGCAGTCACAGCAAAGGCATGGTAATACCCAACCTTCCATTCTGCAGGGCTAGATTGCCTCGTTCACACATTTTGGCTTCATTTCTGTAACATACATTAGATCATATATCTACAGCTTGACACAGAACCTCTATTTTGCCATGAAATCCAGCTCTGTGTGTCTTTCATGGCCAATGTAAATGGGTTTTAAGATTTGGGAGAATAGGATAAAGCCACAGGGCAGCAGTGACTTCTCTTATTAGAACGGGTCACTGCTCTTTTGCCTTTTGTCCCTACTTTAATATGAGGGAGGCCATCCCAAGAGCGGATTAAGGGACAAAATGAACTGCATTATCAGCTTGGGTGCCAAAATCGCCATAACTCGCTGCTATGAAGGCCAGAGCTATCCTTCTCCCCCTGTACTCCTGACTTTGGAATCACAGGGGGCTCCTTCATTCTCTGAGCTTGACAGTTACAGCTTCATTAGCCCGTGCCACCCGTGCTGTTCCCATGGTTACAACACTTTACAGGCAGCAAGGGCAGAGGCCCATTCACCTCCCATTCCCTCAGGAGTAGAGCCAACCTCTGCATTCATGTCCCATTATGCAAGCGAAGACTACAAGCCTGCCATTACCTGTCTTCCGATGATATAAATCCTCCTCACACTGTTCGCATACTCAGTGGATATTCAGTGTTGCTGCCTTCCTATTTGCTGAATACTGTGATAGGAGATTTACAGAATAAAGACCAGATGGAGATTTGTGTACACAGGCTGTGAAATTTCATTTGCCCCCAACCAACCTCTCTTTTATTTTACCTAAGGCAAGTGTGGTGGGGGTGGGCATTTGCAAATGTTAATCGGTAATTCCATTCTATTCCTTGCCCATTCTGCAAGGCTGAGTTTCTAAAAATCTATGCAACCTTGGTGCTTACAACTATTTCAGTACGTATCTTTTGAACATGTTAGAAAACAAGTGTGATGCATTCACTTTATCCTCAAATGCATAGTTTAAATACTTTCTGATTTTTTTTTCCTGAGCCACAAAACTCCCATGTAATGTTAAGGGAAGTGAAAAATCCATCTGACTGCTAAGTTCTAGAAGAAGCAGATCAGTTCAGGTAGAAAAGAGATTGCTCCAGCATTTCTAGTGGCAATGATATCACATGTGTATATTTATGTGTGGAGAGCAAAGGGCAGATTTTTCATGCTCAGCTGCTCTGTTTTCCATAGAAAAAGGACTTTATCTGCGTATGCATACTCTAAATGCATATTTGTTTCCAATTTTCTGTCCTGTTTTGTTTTTCTGTAAGGCAGCATTTCTGTTGTAAGAATATTCCATTCCCTGAGATCAATATATTGTTCTTGGGAAAATGCAATATTTTCCCCTAGCTAACACACTGATTGCTATTAGATTGGCTACATGGAACCTGGCTGGCAACATACTGGCCACATATTGTATGTGATTATAATATAATACTATTTCCTCTCTGTTTTACTCTTTTATGAATTTTCCAGTTCATTGTCTGGAATTTCTCTGAGGCAGTGTGTTATCTCTATATATTAATTCTGCAAAGGAATATTCATGTATGAAAAAATCCGTACATAGCTTTCAGTTATTACCAGTTATTTTTACAGTGCAATCCTACGTGTAGCTATTTAGAGGAAAGTCTTACTGAATTAAATGGTACTTAAGGCCAGGTAAGCGTGTATATGGCCTTAACCATAATTCTTCCCAGCAAAACGGCTTCTCCTTGTATATATTAGTTATATAGAGCCTGGTGTTACATTTTAGTCACTAAGTACTTGGAAAAGTTCCAGTTTTTCTTCAGTTCTCATAGTCTGATGAAGAAGAAACGAACTGGATAGAAGGGAGGAAAATGTTGATTATATAAGCCTCATGACACCTCCTTTAATGGAAATGAATCTATCTCTCTCTCTCTCTCTCTCTCTCTCTCTCTCTCTCTCTCTCTCTCACACACACACACACACACACACACACACACACACACAGAGAGAGAGAGTAGTATTGCTTTTTATGCTCCTCTGCGGTCCAACCTATTCAGAGACACTTCTGCAAAAGGAATGACCATCCCCAGGCTGTGAGTCAACAAGCTGGAATAAGCTCATACCAACTGAATGGTAACAAATTAGTTGTCCATCCCAGTTGTCATTAAGCACACAGCAATAGTTGAACTACAAGCAATAAGCAACAGGCTTACAAGTAACTAGATCATTGTTTTATGGCACCCCAAAGTATACTGCACACTTTAGTGCTAAGAAAAAAAATGCCAACCCAAATGCTCACAACCTCGCCCAGTACAAGCAGCTTAAGGAATCATTCACCAAAGACAATAAGATGCCAGGAATAAAATTTGCAATAAAACTCTCAGGGAATAAATACCTGTGGATTTTAACACACACACACACACACACACACACACACACACACACGCACAAGCTCAGAATAATAAATGGATATGTATGACTCTCTTCATTCCCCAATATAGTTCTATTTATTTTGCAGATGCATATCAGTTTTATACTTGTCCAATATTTACAGACCTGAAAAAGATCCCTGAGAACTGGTTTGCTAAGATTTTGGGGTTTTTTTGTTGAAAAGCAGCACTGTTGATATAACAAAAAATGGTAGAATTTGCTTTATATTCTGGGAGTTTAGAGTCTGAATTTCAAGGTACCAATATTAAATCAAACAGTTCACACAAAATCTGAACATAAACAGAGTTCATTTACCCAATAATGCTAAGTAAATATGTTTTTGTGCAACTTTATATGAACAAAAATTCTATTTCTTTGCCAATTTGCAACCATAACTCTGCTTTTAAAAGACCATATCTGGGTTTTCATCTATATAATGAAAGAACAATCATAAACATGTCTAGTTCTTAATAGTAAACATAAACTTTTATGCAATTTATACATGCCTCATATGCTTCCAAAATAAAATAAACATTTGAAATTCCTAGAGGTGGAATAGCACTTATAAATCATCTTTGTAGAATCACAGTGTGCAACTGTTTCACTGCTCACAAACAGCACAGAAAATCAATGCATAGTGGTTAAATTTTGCATAGATTCAACACACCATCACAGAATCTTTCATGAAATTATACAAGATTTCCACAATAACCTTTAATACACACCTACGTACAGGAGGTAAGATTTATCTAGCTGTACAGCTTTACCTCTTACCCAGTCCCCCCCCCCCCCATGTACAGGTTTTTTTCCCCCTTCTCAGATCAACAGAGAGTTGATCTATTGATTGTCACAGGAGTTGACTAACTGGCTTGTCACTCAAGCATGATGTTGTAGGCTGAGAGTGAGTGCTGGTTCCAAAGTCACCCAGCCAG